ATATAAAATATATATGCACATAAAATTTAGATGTAGTTAAATATTAACATAATTTATCATATTATTCAAAATCGCATTAATCACCAGATTCATAGTAATAATTCAATAACTCAAGTCATGCATTATAAAGTAAAATTCTTTTAGCATTGTTTCCCAGAATTTTTTTGATGAGTGCTAAACCCTCCCTGACACTTCATATTTCAAAATTAGTAGTTGTGATATGATATCCTTTTAAACTAATAAGAAAAGTTATGCATTTGAAATTCAATATGTATTTTCCTAGTAGTAACATTTTACCCTTTTCTTTGTAAAAATGCATTTGGTTCATTGCATTTTAGTTGCATGTTTAATTTTTTGTTTGTTTGTTATTCCAGAGTATTACAGTTAGTTGAGTTTCCAAGCAAATTTTTACATATTTAATTGTATATTTGAAAAGTGCATTTATTTGCAGTTTTTTCTGTTAGTATATTGTAAAATTTCGTTTACATGAAAAAAGAGCTGTGGGGCTTATTTATCACAATATCATTCAATTTTAACAGTAGGCAGTTGGTTGTGCAGTGTTCCATGGACAACTTAAGAGAATCTTTTTATCATTTTAGTGTACTTCATTTCTAATGATATATAATGATCTTATTTATACCCAGTCTATAGGAAGTCAACCAGTGTTAAAAACTTAGGACTTCAGATTGGAAGCCTAGGTGTTTTGTGCTGCCAGTAATGACTAGTCATACCCTGAAAAGAAAGGAAAATCATCCATACATCTCTAATACATGTAATGAGCTTTGTTAAAAACCACGAATGCTCCTCAGAAATACATGCTAGCTATAACTATCGAAATGGACTTATGGGCCAAGACCTGAAAGATGCTAAAAGAAGCTTGATTGGTGATCCCCAGTAGTAGAGTCATTCCATCCATGAGATTCTTGTCAGTTCCGAGATACTGTGCAAAACAGTATAAGTGGTGAAATGGAAATATGAGGGAGTTATTAACCCTCTGACTGCGCAATTTGTAGACACAAATCGCTTCAATTTTTTTTTAAATTTTATTTTAAATCTATATACAGGGTGTTTATAAAGTCCCAGACCCATTTTGATGTTTAATAACTCATAAAATAATAAAGATAGATTAAAATTAATAACATAATTGGTTAGATAGACTCGCAAAGTTTCCTGACCCTTGTCAATGAACTTCCACTTGTGCCCCCTTCGTCGCATGGTCAAGTGAATATCCGTGTCATATATCAAGTCGATATTCAATTTCACGCCAGGTACCGGCAGCATCTGTCGCACCACAGAGCTATTGCGGTTGTAATTCTGGCTTTTAGGTCATCAATGTTCGACACGATCCTCCTGTAAACATTGTCCTTTACAAATTCCCTAAGGAAAAAGTCCAATGGCATTATATCAGGTGATCTGGATGGCCAAGAATTCGACCTCCTCGCCCATCCATCTTCCTATAAAATGAACTATGAACGTTGGTACCCCAACCCATCATGTTTCAAAAGAACATGTGCTAAAGCTCTCTAGTTTGGAAAAGTTTTCCACATGTCAAGTATAACGACTGATGATTTCTTCTGTAAACAAGAAAGGCCCAGTGACTCGGTCGTACATTAGTCCACACCACACCTTAACCTTTCGGGAATCCCTTTGCGCCTCACGGTATTCATGGGGGTTTTCAGATACCCATATGCGAACATTATGGCGATTAACAATGCCAGAAAGATGAAAGGATGCTTCGTCGGAGAACATTATGCGCTTAAGAAATTCAGCATCATCTTCTATCCTTCTTAGCATATCTGTTGCAAAGGCCATCCTCCTAGGCCTATCGTCTGGTTCCAAAACTTGAAAAATTTGAACTTTGTATGCAATGCACTTAATTTTTTCTTATAACCTGTACCCACCGTCGAAATTGGCATATCCAAATCTCTTGCAGCTGATCTCACAGATCTTCTAGGATTGTGTAAAAATGTCTCTCTGACATGCTCAACATCAAAATCACATGTGCAGGGACGTGCGAAACATTTCTTATCTGCGATACTTCCAGTTTCTAGAAAATTCTTTTTCCACCGCAAGATGCTGCTTTTGGATGGAGGATCTTTGTAATAAATTTTTCTGCAATTTCTCTGTGTTTGCATTTTGGATTTCGTTTCTTTGAACCACCATAAAATCTGTGCTTTCTCTTATGGTGTATGCATTCTCCTTAATATCTGGTCGAATAAAACATCACATACAAAAGTACTAGTGTGTCTGTGTGATTATGGCAAAGCCTCAAGGGCTATCTGCCTAAGGGGAGGGATGCATTCGTGGAGGACTTTCTGGGGGAAACTGGCTCATATACACATTACACATGGGGAAAACCACAAAAACGCCCATGCAGCCAACTCGTTCGTGGGATTCGAACCACGGACCGAACTACCAGTGTTCAGCGACTTTACCGCTCGGCCGCTGGTGAGCCTTTCAAAAGTACTAGAACAAACACATCAAAAGTAAACATAACATTGCAATTTGCAAAAACAAAAAGAAAAAACTGCATTAATAGCGAACGATATTTAGAAAAGTACAGATGTTTAGACTGGAAAATGAAATTATCTGAAATTACACACACGCGCAGACGATATTTACAAAAGTAAAAGATATTCAAACCTGAAATCAAAATTGTAAGTTATCCATCAAATGCATAAGTTGTTTAATATCTTCATTATTTATGAGTTATTAAAACATCAAAATGGGTCCAGGACTTTTATAAACCCCTGTATATTGAGAAATTGAAAAATGCACTTTTCATCTCTAGAAAATATTTTTTTATATAGATTTTTATCATGAGAAAAGAAGTTGCAGAAAAACCAATTTCAGATGTTTCACACCAAAAAAAAAAATCTCGTTTTAAATAATTTCAGTCAAATTACACTTAATTTCTATTTATTGATACAAAAGTAAAAAATGTATAAAATTAAGAAAAATAAAGCGCTGAGGGAAAAACACCTTAGAAATGCAGTTTAGTCATCATTCAAAACAGGCAAGTCCAACTTCACAGCTTTGCACCAGTTTCAATAAATTTTAATCTAATCAATAAATCTAAGTAATAATTCAATAATTAATAAATATCCGATAATCGCTGAACGTTTTCTAGCAGCCATTTCTGTAAGAAAAAAAGTGAAATTTGAGCGGTAATATCACGTGCCTTCAAATGCCCCAATTTAGTGGACAACTAACGATATCTCTTGGCCAAAACATAAACTAAGCTCCTAATACTATATATAATTATTTTCAATGGTTAGACGGGGAAAAAAGCGGGATGCGCTCCTCAATAAAGGGAAAAAAACATATGCCCGCGGAATGAGCAAATTTTGCTGCATTTGAGTTGCCCGTGGAAATCGCAGGATGATCAGCCAGAGAGTTAAAGCCTCCTGACCAGAGAAGGCAAAAAATGGCATATTGAGATCGATGTCTCCAGCATATGGTGAAATCAAAGTGGCAAACTTCATTAGAATTAATAACCACAGACTACTGACTGGCATCTGGAAGTTTTACCTACTCATGATACTCATCCAAAGGCATTTGGTTGTGGAGGCTTTTGACATTGTAGTGCAGCCAGTGATCACTTAAAGTGAATGTTCATTACTAACTACATTGATACAAAATACACCAATTTGAGCGCTGTAGAGCAATGGAAGAATCATATTACATGCTTTAATATTCTGATCGATATATGTGGATGGGATGAAAGGAAAGTTAGCATTATTTGATAGAGTAACCTCGTTCTCACTGTGAAGTTTGAGGGGGAGGAATGAAGTGGTTTTCTTGGTTTGAACTACTTGGACTACTGATTTTGTGCATTGAAATCTGAGTTCCAAAATTTGTGGTGCAGTATCAGACAATTCTGTGATAGTCACCCTGTAGCAAAAATTTGGAACTGGCCTGATCATTTTCAACAATTCATCCATCCATTCATTAACCATGAGCTATAACCCAGTGGTTTGATGAAGTGTGAGTATTTGTGCTGATTTAAATGCATTTAATTATTTCAATGCATAATTAGTGTTGGTTCAGAACCGTTCAGCAGTGTTGTAGACATGTTTGCTATATAATAATTCTGGAGAGATAGTTGAAAATACCTGCAGATGTTGAAGAAAACTGAATGGAAAGTTTTCCTCAAAGTACTGATACTGTGATAGCGACATGTCATATCAACACCATATTACCTCTTGCTAAGCAACTTGCTGTAGTTGTCTCGTCATTATTGGCAACAGTTTATCAGCGTCACTGATGCCTCTCATGACCCTGAGTCCTTAACATTCAGTTACTGCTAAGAGGTTAAGTTTAATTATGTGTCTAAGACTTTTGAACTTATTTCAGATAAAATGTATATTTCTTCATATACAACCAGAAATATGCTGAAACATTCTAACAGTGTAATATAGGATTTTTCCTTTAAGTGCTACTATCTGGTAGACATGATGCACGCTTGCATCGCTACAGTCTGTTTAAAATGTGCACTTCAAAGTTGTGACTTTCCTTTAGAATCATGTCATCATCATTGCACAGATGGGGTTATGCGATTTTAGAAAACTGAAAAACTCGATTACATTTCTGCAGCAGTATCATTACAAGGCAAGCCAGAAGGGAGAAATGACCTTGAAATAAATACTGCAGAGTAAATCTCTAACAAAATCTAGGCTTTGAATCATGAGGTCCTTTTGCACAGCTACCAAAAATACATTAGATAATAACTTAGTATCATTGAGACATGGCTTATAGTGTGCATGCCTCTTATTTAAAAGATAATTTCATGTAAAATATTGCTATTAAGTATCTGAATAACTAGTTAATTTTGCATGGATGTCTGAAAAGGGGTTATTTACTTCAAGTAGCACTTTCAGATCTTCCGAAAAATGATCAGTCTGCATAGTTTTTCTCATTTGTAGAAGTTTAATAAAACTGCATCTGAAAATTGTATAATTTTTCTCAAACCTAATGTCTTTCATTTTTGTTTTATAAAGTAGTTCTGGTGATGAAGATGAAGTACCTGAAATAAAAGCAGAGAAGGATAAAGAAAGAAGGCAAGCAAATAATGCTAGAGAAAGGTGAGTAATAAATCATTTGTTTAAAAATATACCTTGATTTGCTAATTAATCCATCAAAATCCATAACATGCTTGTGTTTCATGACATTGTTAAAATTCGGTGCTTTGCAGTCAGCCAATTTAGTGTTTTCAGCTTTAAATTGATTTCTGAAGAAGAAATATATAATTCCAAAGGATTAAAAAATGTTACATGTATTGACTGCATATTTCTAGAAATAGTGTGATTGCTTTGATCTAATAATTATTTTTAGTATAAAAATGATTAGTTATGAATTTTGTTCCATTTTAGTGACTGCTGTGTTGCTTTATATATATATATATCCATTAATTTAGTGTATAAAAATGTTTTGTATTTATTTTAATTACAGCAGTTGTGATGAGTAGATTATATAATCAGATACCTATAGTGATGTACCATATTTGACGGCATATAAGACGCACTTTTTTTTCCTAAATTTGGTCTCAAAAAAGTTACCTGCATCTTAAACGTGAAGGTAATTGCATTCAATAATTGTTTATTTGGCTTTTACGAAACGTGAGAACTAAAAGAAACCACGCTATTGAAACTTTTTTCCTTGTGTGTGGCCGTCTAAATAAGGGTGCGCCTTATATGCCGTCAAATACGGTATATATATGTATATATAAATGAATGTTGATATTTTAAGATATATATTAACTCTTAACTGCTGTGGCCATATATACATATTTATATGCCTTCCTCAGCCGATGCGTTAACTGCCCCAGGTGTATATATATGCCAGTCCTTAATACTATCATTTGCTTTATACTACTACCAGTAAAGTTATTGGCAACGCTTTAGAATACAACACCTTAATGACGTTGATAGAGTATGTGAAGGAGGATGCTATTTCAGAGAAGAGTTGGGTGTTTCTGAAATTGTGAAAGTAATGACTGCGTGGTTGTTGCTCGTATTTCTGTTTGAGTAATATGTATTTTTTTTATTCTGTGTCTTCCGTTTTCATTTACTGTTTATAGTAGGTGCTTTTTTTATGAGTGTCTGACAGTGAAATAGATGATTACTTTCCGTCATCTTCAGGATTGGACACCTCAGAATATGATATCTTATAAAAAGGATTGCGACTATTCTCTGACGACTTGATATGAAAAACTTGCTTACGGCATCCAACCAATTCAGAAGAAATATATTTTTTTCTTAGGTATACTGATTTTACAAGGTATAACATTATAGCCTGATATTACACTTTACTTGTCTAAAAATAAATTGATTGAAACTCCATTTTTTTAAAATTTTTTTTATTATGTAAACATCATTTTTATTATACTTTAACTCTAAACATTAAATTTTGTATTTTCATTTTTTCTTTAATTCTTTATTTAGTGAAAGTAAACAGTTTTTAGACAGCAAGACTTTCATTTATTTCCCCCCTAATATATCGCATAACTATGCACCCCTATGTAAAAACAACGGTGGCATTGTGGAGTAAATCTAGTGCGCTTTTCATGGCAGTTAAAGGGCTAAGTCATAGATAAGGAGCAGTTTTATCAGAGGGGGAAAAATCCAAATTATGAGGCAGTTACCTGGTAAATTGTGAAATTCCATCAAATTTTCATCGCCGAAAAATGGCAGTAACATTCAAAAATAAGTCTTGTTTATAATAGTAGTAACTCAGATAATTAGTAAATAATTAATAAATATTATATTATAGATTTCTTAAGTAGGTGCATATCTTTATAAATTAATCTAGCTCTGGCAGTGGCATAAGATCACGATGTTATTATTGTTACATAAGATCACGATTCCCAATCATTTGAATCCTAGTAGATTCCCAATAGTCAGTGTCTTGGAAAATTGAACATTGAAAATTTTCCTAATATTAACTTGGTGTTGAGTCCTGTAATACATTTTCTAAATTTTTTTTTTAAAAAAAGAAGTAGAAGACGACTTCTGCATTGGTACTTTTTGTGAGTACTGATAAACAATAGATGGTGATTTTCTTAATTAAATAGTTTTTATATTTGAAAAAGCTTAGTAAACGTTCTTTAATATGAAACTATTATATACTTGTTTCACACAGAACCTAATGTTTTATTTACATTTTTTTAATAATAGTATGTTGCTATGAGAAAGAAAGTCTTCATTGCAATTTGTTACCTGAGAATTTGCAAAATCAAACATTCTATACTAAAAAGAGTTAAATCTTTACCTTTCAAACAATAATGCATGATTTTTTTCCTCATGTCATTTCACAGTTCAGTTTAATGGATTCACTGTGGCAGTGGATCCTGTTTATCCTACTGTCTGTAAATTTTGTGAAAACAATATAATGTGGATGTGGATTTGCTGAAAAGCTTTTAAATAAGATGGTCGACATGCTGCAGTAATATAGAGAAACCTTGTGTAGAGGCTGCTTTATCTCATCAGTAGCGCTCAGCATATATCCTTTGGAGATGAGATATCTCGTCCATAGTGATGAAAGTTCTGCAATTCAAGGTTCAAGAGTTGGATTTTTGATTAGAAAATATATTTTCATTTATGTTATTATATTAATTAATATACAAAATTATTTTAATATGGATAGTAACACAGCAGTCATAGTGGGAAATAAAAAAATAATGGGAAAAGCAATGTCTAAAAGCCAAAAATTTATTCGATAACTGTGGGAAAATATGACATTTGGGAAGTTTCAGAAAATTCCATAAAGTACACAAAATTCTTTCTGGGAATTTGTGCAATGATGAAATTTATTGTTTTAGTCATAAAGAACAGAAAATACAAAATCAATATCTTTTTGAAATCATAGGATTCAGTGGTAAATAGAGGCCACAAAATACCACTTTTGTGGTAAATATCTATATGACAAAGATCTGAAGAAATTTTTATGGTGTTATTTATTTTTTAAATATTCCATTTGCATACAAAGCATTACTCATAACTTTGGACAGAAAAATTATGAAAATTTGAAGTTTTAACTAAGACATTTTATTAGTTTGTTACTGCCATTAATAAATTTATAGAGAAATATTTCTTTTTAGTTCTTTATTATTAATTTTTTTGGTATTATTTCCAGAATTCGAGTTAGGGATATAAATGAAGCATTCAAAGAACTGGGTAGAATGTGTATGGTTCATCTCAAAGCAGATAAAGCCCAAACAAAGCTAAATATTTTACATCAAGCTGTTGATGTTATAACAAATTTAGAACAGCAAGTGAGGGGTAAGTATTAACTGACATAAGTTAAAGTTTTCTGTAATAAGTGTAGTGCTTTATGAAATTCGTTTCAATATATCACATTTTTAAGTCTGTTAGAGCCTGTCAAATTTGCATGGTTATGATTAAAAGTTAATTTTTCATGTTCTCTTGTAATTATCTTCACACATTCATAAATGTAATTAATAAAACCTTTTTGAATATTGTCTTAAATTTAACAAGCAGCATATAAAATTTATATTTCATTGTACCTTGGAAAAAATATGTCATTAAGATTTTTGATGTTTTAAAAAAAAAACTTTTATGTTGTGTTTTAAAATGTTTTGTAAGCAATTATATTGTTTCCAATAATGTAAATTATAGAAATAAAAACAAACGAAAACCAAAAATAATATTCAGTTTGCTTTTTTTCATTCAGTAATGTTAACTGAAGTACAACTGAAGTAACATCTATTGCTGGAAAAGTAAAACTATTTTCAAAATGACCCAGTCTTTAACATCTCTGTTTTCTTCTTAAATCTGAGTAAAGTAAATCGTATGGAACAAAAGGGGCATTGATCAAAAGAGCATTGTAAAGAAGTCTTACACAGAACTCAAATAGCCCTGACCTACTTTGTTATATAATTAAGGAACCAGAAATCATTTTGATGTATTAACAGGCATGGCATGTTTTAGTATGTGTGAAATACACATTTCTTTGACCCAATGTGTATTTGTAGTATAAAGTATAACCATATTACTGATTATTCATTTTTGTGTTTAAAATTTTTCATCTTATACTATTTTATTCAAGAGGGTCTAGTTTTCTGTAAGCAGTTTTATTTTTTATTCACTTTAAATGCACAAGTAATTTAAAAAGACAAAGTAATTGAAAAATTAATGAGAAAAGTAGTAAGTAAAAGTTTTAGGAAACATTTAAAGTATTTTCTCATCAGTTTTAATATTTTGCATCATTGCAGTAACTAAATTTAAGAATTGTGTAATAGTTTAAGAATGAACTGAATGACTTCAGAAGGAGCAATAAAAAGCCCTTGTTTTTAGAGGAAAAGGAAAAAGGCAAAAAAGTGAACCCAGTTTTTTTTATCTGCAAAATGGAGTAGGAGGAAGAGTTTCATGTAATGATAGCATCTTGATAAAGCAGCAGCAGGCTTATAGCATAAGCATATTTTCATTTTCTATCTTTGAACAATGGGGACAAGTCCTAATGTTATGGGATTTAAGAGGTGCAATGGCTGAGCCAGTTGTTGAGTATTTAAGAATGCTGACTAGTGATATCTTGACTTCAATTGAAACTGATGCAGATGGGCTGGCAAATTAGCTGCATTTTTTATGTTTTGCCCCGTGTGTAACGTAAATATGAGCCAGTTTTCCTTATTTAAGTACCCTAACATAAATTTAATGGGTACAGATTGCATTCCCTGAAACTGGCATATCTGTTTTGAAATTGTGTTTTTATTTTTCCTGAAAAAATATAGTGTCTCAAGTTTTTGTTTTACTGCCATCTCTATTTTTTATGCTTAATGTTTAGAATTGTATGAAATTTTTAAAAAAATTAATGCATATCTAGAACACTCTTGAAGTTGTGCTTAATAAGCAGAAAATATTGCCATATAACATCAAAATCTGATGTTTTGGAGGTAACGGAAAGAAAATAGAAAGTGGAAATTTTTTTATGAAATAGTTTATATGCATTTGTTGAAGCTTCTTTATTTTGTGAATTTTCATTATGTATCTATGGTGCAAGTAGTTAAAATTAGTTAATTTTGAATTAGGATGCATTATGAAAAAGAAAATTTACCTTAAAAAATTCATGTGTGTGGGTGATAAATATAGATTCATTGAAAATAGATGTTGAAGTGTAATCGAAGAAGAAACTTGCTAGCCATGTAGATGCAATAACAAGTAGGTCATGGCAGATTTAAATTTTTTATTTGTATTTTAATTGGCATTTGCAACGAAAAATAACTTAGCACTCTAATCATGCCTGTTCCAGAACTTTTATGTTTTTAATATTGTTTTGGTAAGAGAGCAGTACATCTCTACTAGACTAGTACTAGGTAGACAGATGAGCAGGAAGCATGTTATGTTCAAGATGATATCTTAGTTCAAAGTAGAATAGTTTCGATTGACTAATAAATAACTGTCTAATATTATTATTGGCTGCTTGAGTTTCATTTTGCAAAAGCAGTGTTGCCAGCATCATGCAAAATTACCTGATGCTGCTATTAATTTTAAAATGCTGCAGTCCAAAGAAATTTATTATAAGCCTTTTTTTTTTTTTTTTTTTTTTTTAAGAACCGAAAGAGGAAATGTCAAAATTAAAATCAAGAGTTAAGAAGTTATTGCAAATTTTTATGTTGCATATATGTGTGTCACGTGCTCTAGAATTTGGTCTTCAGAAACCTTTTTTTTTTCCCAAAAAAAGGGGAGAATTAATAGTCATATTTTATGTTTTAATTCATTTCTGCCTCAGAAATGCACTTTAAAAATGGTATGGTTTTGTTTATGTGATTATGGCAAAGCCTCGAGGGCTTTTTGCCTAATGGGAGACTGGCTCTAAGGGATTCTGGACTAATTCTAAGAAAAACTGGCTCTTATACATGTTACACATGGGGAAAACTGCAAAAATGGCCATACAGCAAGCTCGTTCGTGGGATTCAAACTTTGGAGCGACCTACCAGTGTTCAGTGACTTTAGTGCTTGGCTACTGATGAGCCCCATTTTTAAAAAATGAGTTTGCTTTTCTTATGGAATCATAGGTAAGGTAGCTTACCTGTGATACATGTATGCATATATTTAAATAATAAATATTTATTATTTCAGAAAGGAATTTAAACCCCAAGGCAGCTTGCTTAAAAAGACGGGAAGAAGAGAAAAATGAAGAAGGTCCAAAATTAGGAATGCACACCATTCCTCATCCTCAGACTCTGGATTCTCTAACGCATCAGCGGTTGGCTACTTCTCTACCGGTATAGTTTTATACTTTTTAAATACAGAAAAATGTTTTTGTGTTTAGCAAAAGAATTTTCTGAGGCATATTATGCTACATTTAAAAGTGTTGTATAAATATTTGAGCATTTACAACTCATTTTATATACTCTTTATGGTGTAAGTTTATGTTTGCTATATTTTTCATACCTTCCTTCATCTCTTGGGTGTAAAAAATAACCATGGGTAGCATAATGTATAATTTTCATTGAAAAGGTTTGAGATTTAGAGTTCAACAAAATAATAAAGCAACAAACATTTTAATGCTTCAAAAAATCTTTAGTTATTGGATAGTGTTATGATTTTAAATGTTAAAAATATTGACTGAATAATGTAGATTCATACAAAAAAGTGTCAGTTATTAGTAAATATTCATATACATATATCTGGAAAAAATTCTCCATAAGTTTGTCTTCAATACTTTATTGCATGTACAGAAATCCAAACATACATGATACTCAACAAGATTATTTTTAAGTAATTGATGTCAGTTATTTTTACTATTCTGAGAAAGTTTGTCTTGCAGCTCATTGGAATTCCCAAGATGTTGTATATTGGTTGCTAGATTTATAGAGAATAGTCCAATGCATTTTCGATGGGATTTAAATCTGACAATTTAACTGACTAGTTATTGCAAGTTTCTCGAGGTTCTGCCATATTCTCGGATATCTTGTGGGGACAGTTTTAGTTATTTCTAAAATGTCATTCTGATAAATTAAATCATGTGTATTACTTTTTGCAAATGATGTGAGAAAGAAATCCCATGATTGTTTAAAATTTCTTTATAAGCCTGCTGACTTATTGTTTAAACCATTTGTACTGATAGACCTAATTTGCAAGCATTGGAACAAACTAAGTGTTAAAAAGCATGTTTCTGTTAAGTAAAATTGTCCGAATATACTCAAATTTGAATGCTTCTAGTTGTTCTCTTGATCGTGCAAAATTTGGATTTACCAGACCATAGAACAATCTACTGATAAACAATCCATGTCATATCAGTTTTCGCCAAGCCTAAGAAGCTTTTCTTTAAGATTGATAATGGTTTTTGTCTTGTGGATGTACTCCATATAAGTATTTGAAAGTCCCATCTAAATGTTTTATTATAGTCAAATCCTTATGTGATGATCCCTGAGAAAATTATATGCAGGAGTGATTATTAGTAGAATGGAGGAGTTCTAGTCTTGTATAGAATCCGCTTTGTAAACCAAACAAGAATATGTGGGTAGCCATTTTTCATAATATTTTTAGGACTTTTTAAATTTTTTTTATTGTTATAATTATTGCTTGACTTGCTGTTATGAATGCATTTAGAATTGTACATTTGCGAATACTTTTAAAACTCCAGTAATTTCTTGTTTGGTAATCTCTTACAGTTCAAAGGACATGACACATCTGTTTTTGCAAATCTTTAACATTAACTTTCAATGTATTGATTTTATTTTTTCAAAATTTCCCACTGTTCTTGTTCCTTCACATTGAGAAAAACCTGTTTTTTGTTATGAAATATGTAGCTTGGACTCTTAATTATAATAGCTAGCATACCTTATTTGAAACCTTTACATGAAATACTACAAGCTCCCTTCCCTGGTATCTGCAAATATTTGGGGTTTGATATTATTGTATTAGTATTTATATCGAGCACTAGCATAATTGGTGCTCTGTGCTTAATATGTAATGTAGCATTACTGTATGACTCTTGTAAGTTTCTCAGTTCTGTGTTCTTAATTTATTTAAAGTTCTAAGGAAAATAGAATGTAAACAAGTGAACATAATTATTCATTTCACTATTAATATCTCGTGGGAAAATATTTTAAATTCCCTTTCCATGTATCTGTCTACTTGCCTACTTTAATTGATTGTATCTTAGCCTAGAATATTCTACTCGTCGTTCAATCAAATAGATCAGCCAAATAGAATAAAAGATGCATTAGGTACTTCATAAACTGATATGTATTTTCCTGCTTCATTTGTTATTAATGCTTTACAAACTTCTGATACCACAGAAGAAATTATGAATCAACCTGTATTTCAAAAGTAAAACTGCTGTTTGTTTCTGTGCAAGCCACATTTAAAATGTAGCATAAAGCTTCATATGGCTGATGAGCCACAAACAGACCATGTGCACGATATATTAATCTCTGGCGATGTGTTTTCATCATTCTTATAAATTCCATTTTAGGCAACTACTGTAAAATAAACATAAGTTGTAATTTCATTGAAGAAATTTAAAGAGTGGAATTCTTAAAAAATTTCTAATTTCTTACTTTTTTATATATAAGAAATGATATTTATTTTGCCCAATTCGATCATTAAAGTAATCCTAAAATTTTATCAATTTTCCGCTAATTTCAGTTATTTAAAAAAGTTCTAATGCCTCTTCAACTTTTTTGTAATAAGACTCTATAAAAAGTTCATTTGATTCATACAGAGATTGGGTAATGTATGGTAACTGCAGTCTGAGAAAACAGAAGAAACAAAAGTGAATTGAAATTTAAGTAAACTTTTTAAAAATAATAATAATCGTAACTGAAAATCTTGTGTATTTTTTAAAATCGGGTTTTAATTTCTTCTCAGTTTTGCAAGCAAATATGGCAGTTAGTTTGTCAGTTTAGACAGTTTAAAAAGTCTATGAAATGAAATTTAGCAGAGTTTTTCGCAAACACAAATGAAGTTTTATGATGAACTTGGCAGTTTTCAAATTGAAATTCTTAATAAAAATTTGTGTTGCAGCTTGGTTTGACATTTGTTACCTTACTTGGTTTATAAGTTTTGTATAAAAGTTTCTTTTATCAAACTTTTAGTAATATACTGAAAGCTGTGCATTTCATTAGGTGAAAGTTTTCATGCCCCTTTAGTATATCAAGTTCTTTCTGATTTTTGTTTGTCACAAAATCATATGCAACTTTTGTTTAGGCACATTTTTTCGGTCACGGGCCAAGATAAGTTTTTTTAAAGTTTTAAAAACAATATACAAGTATTATGAGATGAATGAAATTGCAATTTCGTTTTTGAAAGTTCCTTATATTGAGGTTCGAAGCGAGATGTACCGATTCTAAGGAGCGAGTCTAAATGCTCATTTGTCAGTCTACTGAAATAATTCTTTCTAAGGTTTATAGTTGAAAACACTTGTTCACATATATAAGATGAAGCAAACATAGCACTGATTTTCTGGGCGTGGAATATTAAATTTGGGAAACTTGCTTTCGATGATGTTTTGTTAAACTCTAACTTTGGCATATTTAGAAACTGCTTGAGATACTTGTTAAATTGCAACTCAACCTGCAAATCTAACCTCACTGCTTCACAATTTACGTTGAAAGGCATGGTAAAAATATCCGATTCTGTTTGAATGGCACTGAAATCTTGAAAGCCTTACTACAAAGGCCACTTACCACGTAGCCTCACTACAAATTATGGGGTCGCAACCCATAGTTTGAATATCACTGAAGTAGTTCACTAAGACAGTCATACTTCAGTTCAGTTCACATCTGGTGTTAAATGTAATCAACAATAAGTTTGTCTGTAGTTATTTTAAAAGCTTGTGGAGACATTATGACTTTTTCGAAGCAGTAGAAATAAAAAATGTGCAATACCCTTGCCAGGACTCAAACCCTTCGAATACATTGCTGAGTATGTTGACTATTACACTATGAAGGCTGGAGAAATACCTTATATACTCCTCCTTTTAAAGGGTGACTGGGGATTAGGAGACCGAAATGCCAAATCCTGGTGGTGGAAAACCATCATCCACCACCTTTTTTAGTTCGGATGCCGTCGTAGAGACATTAGGACTTTTTTGAAGCAGTAGAAGTGAAAAATGTTCAATGCCCTTGCCAGGACTCAACCTTTGACCTCTCGAATGCACGTCGAGTATGTTGACCATTACACCACGAAGGTGTGCTAGTAGGCGAGAGAAATACCTTATAAGCTTATAAAGTAAAGATTGCATGAAACTTCATTAAAAATGCGAAAGGGGGGGCTGGAAGGTATAACCATACTGAAATAATTGATGCTTGGAATTTTTATTTGTTATTCAGTTGAGAAGCATTTTGTGTTTATGCTACATTTGCAAGTGCAGTTGAAGTTTAAAAAAATATGAATATTATGAATATTATGCAGAATCTGATTATTCCTATATTTGTGACTGAGTTATCAAACTAAATTCCTTGCTTCAGAGTTTCATTTTCATCAGGAATAATGTACTAGGACCATTAAAAATATCAAGAGCTTTTTAAGATCCTTAAGTATCAGATAACTGTCACAGGTCAGACCAGAGCAAGAGGATTATCCTCTTTTTCTTTGAAAACCTCCTAGAGTGATTTTATGTAGAAGTTTCAGACTTTTTCTTATTTACTTGTACAGATAATTTCAGATTTTGCCTCTAAATATAGAGCTGAAAGTTTTACGTTATATCATAGATAATCAGATGAATTTGTTAAAAGCAGTGAATGAAATTTAAAATTGTTTCTAATGTGAATTTTTTTGTTGAATTAGGACTCTTGTAATCTCCGGGGTTAATTATGCTGGTGCCTAGAGCACTTCTTTTTTCAGCATTTCCCATGATTGAATACCATACAAGTATGTCATATTTGTCATGGAAAAATATGAAGAGACAGTACTTTAAAATGTATAATGGTGTTAAACCTTGTCAGCAATGGAACTTTCATACAGTGCTAGTAAAATACAGTTGAGCAGTTAAGAGAAATTTGCATTGCTTTGTGTAGCATAGTAAGACATCTTTTAATTGAATTTTTTTTTCATTAAATACAGGGAATCCTCGCGCCGATGACATTATCAAGCCAGTGCACAACGACATTTGCCGATGGCCATGACATTGACCCGCCACTTCTGCCTTAAGACCCTTGTGGGTCAGTGGGAGAAAGAAGAAAAAAGCCAAACTATATGGGTATGTTTCATATTCAGGGTAAAGTTCTTCAGAATCATACTTTGATTCTAATAATTAAGCACTAGTTAATAGTTTCATCTAGTTACATTTTTTGAAAAGTTTTGTTTGAAGTCTGCTGTTGTTAAGCAACAGTAACCAATAAAAATATATATAAAATCGTTGAAATATTACTTGAAATTCACTTCTTTTGTTGTTCTTTAAATTTACCTGTGCTAAAATAGAAGAAAATCATGTGGTAATTCTTTTCAATAGATAAGCTCTTAATTTTTCTCTTGTTTTTACCTCTTTGAACTTTTCTTTTTTTAAGAGTCTAAAATCAGTCCAAATCCTTGGCGGCCTTACTAACCACTCTCCCACTTCTAGTTCTTTGCTCACCGTCATTTATTTCTGAGTTAGTGGAGTTTAGTAGTTGATCTTCTAAACTTTGCTCTTGAGAATATCTAGGATCATATTTTTTTAATATCTGTTTTCTGTGCCTAACTCCTGTTCCTGATATTCTCTTCAGTAGCTGAACTGTTTTGTTTAGTGTCTGTAATGTCTTATACTGTTCCTTCTGGTCTTAGTATATGACCAGAAAATCTGGGCATCTTACATACTTCTACAACTGGTGGTTTTCAGTGATTATCTTGATATAGCCTAATACAATCTCCTTTTTTAATGATAGTAATGTTTTCATGACGATCATAATATAACTTCTGCTTAGTTCTTTCTCGGTTGATTTTCTGCTTTTATGATTTTTCTCAACTTGAGGTTTCAATCTTTCTGATGTAGGAAGACTCGCTGTTGTTGTTCTACTCGTAAGTCGTTGAACTGGTGATCCTAACATCTCAGTAATTGAAGTGTTCCTAGGAGTTACCAGTGCTAAATACGAGGGCTATCCAGAAAGTAGATTACATTTTGGAATAAAAAAATAAACAAAGTATAGGAAACAAATTTTATTATATACAGATGAAAGCCACACTCAAATACTACTTTTCTACATAGTCACCATACAAATTAAGGCATTTATCGTAGCGATGTACGAGCTTGGAAATTCCTTCGTCGAAAAATTCGGCCGCCTGCGCCTTCAACCACTTCGTTACCTCTTCTTGCCTTCCATCTTGCACAAAACTTGTGGTAACCAAGCTTTTCGCTGATGATTTCGTGCAACAAACTTCGCGAAATTTGTGGAAAACTCAAAGAAAGTTCCGTTATTGTGAAATTTCGATTTTCACGGACTTTAGCATCGACTTTTTCGAGAAGTTCGGCGGTCACTATGCTGGGTCTCCCACTTCGATCTTCGTCGTGAACATTGGTTCGGCCATTTTGAAATCTTATGACCCACTGACGCACTCCACCTTCAGTGATAATGTTGTCCCCATACACTTCACGAAGCTGCCGATAGATTTCTATTGGTTTACAGTTTTTTGCAGTCAGAAACCTTATTACTGAGCGCACCTCGCAGCTCGCGGGATTTTCAATTAACGCAGACATTTCAAACCGTCACAGTATCTGAACGGAGCACAGCACGAACCTCTCACTAGCACGGCTAGATGCAGACTGAGCTGCGCAACGCTCTGACCCCAAGATGGCCGCGCTAGCCCCGCCCCTAGCGGACACAGACGGAAACGTAATCTACTTCCTGGATGGCCCTCGTAAATATCAACATGATCTGCTCTAGCTTTCCTTAATAATTTCTTCACCATTTGCATGAAACTCTGCTAATCTGTTCAACTTAAGATAGTGTTGACTGCTCATTATATGTTTAAATTGGCATTTCTTGACAAATTTTACAAATTCATTAGTTGCAAATAGTCAATTATCTGATATCACTATTAGTGGTATACCATATCTTTGAAAATGAGATTTCATATAACAACTAATCACTGTCTGACTTCGAGTACTTCGACTGTCTGATCAGATAAATTGGAGATGTCAAAAAAGTTAGAATAGTAATCTACAATCAATAAGTGTATATCTTTTTAATCTCAGATAAATTTGTTCCAACTTAATACCGAGGTAAATTAGGAACTTCATGTGGTATCATAGGTTCCTGTATATGTTTGTTCTGATATTCATTGCGTATAGGAAGGACATTTTGAAATTTTATCATCTGTTTGTTCATAAGTGGCCAAAACAAAACATCTTTATCTTTTTCTTACATTTTTCTATCCCAAAGTGACCCTCATGGATTAAATTTAGCATCCATTTTTGCATAGATCAGGTGATAATTACCCTTCCTTCTTTGAAAAATAAGTCAGTTTCCATTGCTAGCTCATTTCTGTAGTTCCAGAATACTTTGAAATGATGTTCCAGCTGATGCTTCTTTTCTGACCAACCTCTCAGAATATATTTCTTTAAGCACTGTGGTGTAGAATCTCATAAATTTTCTTTCTTGAGGTCATAAATTTTGTAATCAGATGCTTTAGTCAGCGTACAAATTTCTGTATCTTCATTATCATCATCTTTTGCTGTATTCAAATATGCTCTACTGAAAGTGTCTGCTTAGTAAGTCTTTTCCCATTTTTTAATCTACATCTAGATCATATTTTTGAAAATTTAAACACATTCTTTGCAATCGCTGAGGTGCCTTAAAAAGAGGTTTCTTAGTTAAAGGTCAATTTCATTTGTAGTGCATTTGTCACATATATACTGATGAAATATTGAACATCCAAAAGTAATAGCTAAAAATTCTTTTTCTATCTAGCATAATTTTTTTGACTTTTCGTTAGAGCTCTGAAGAGCCTAATCAATTGGTTGATTTTCTTGTAGTAAGACAGCACCTAATCCTTCAGAACTTGTATCCACTGAAAAAGTTACATCCTTATTAACATCATAGAATCTTAATATGGGTTATTTTGTGGCCAATCCTTTAAGTGTTTTAAAAGCTTTTTGATGTTTTTATGTCCAGTGCCAGAGAACGTTTTTCTCAAGTAAATGTCTTAACCCCTTAAGGACCAGCTCACGGAGAACGAAGCGCAGTCACGGGACCAGACCCGCTGAAATGGATTGTCGCCACCGGCCTGCGCACTTTCAGTAGTTAAGCCTAACTTACAAAAAAAAAAAAAAAAAAAAAAAAGAAAATCGTATAAAATCAGCATTTTGATATAATGACTTCAATTTTTGAAGTTGTGTATTTAATGTACTTGTTTTTAATATGTATTAAATATAAAGAACATCACATTAATAGAAATAAATAAAATAGGCAAAATACTAAAATCTTATTTATATACATAGAAATAAATACTATAAACATGAAAACAAATTTACAAATATGAAATTAAAAAAAGAAAACTAAGCAAGAATTACCTGTAAGTAATTCAATTCCAGGTTAAAAATTCTGCTGTGCATGGAATACTTCAAAACAAAGATCGACACACAGTCCTACCTTGCATATTTTGCAATAAAAATACGTTGTTTGCTTTTCCTTGTTTTTAGCGCACACACATCTTCTACCTTTATTACCTTTTCTGTCAACATAAATTTTAGGGAAAAGACCAACTAGCTGCAGGTTCAGAGAAAGCATGTAATGGCAACATCTCTCCAGGATTATATTCCTCTGTGTCTGAGTGTAAAAAACTTTGATTCATGTAAACACTAATATCACTATCACTGTCTTCACTAATCTCAGAATCACTTTCATTCATAATTTGACATGTTTCACTCTCAGTTAAATATCTTGGTCTCTTATCCATGGCGAACGGAATGAAACTGAATTATAACTTCAACACATGTCTCAAAACTTCTTCAAAAGACACCTAGAAATACACTCATGTCCATAAATTAAGGATAATTCGGAGTTACGTGGAAATCGAACTCTAAAATAAATATATCACCTGTAAAATCACTCTACATATCTTCAAGAATCATATGCAAATTTCAGGAAGTAACCAGATGACACCAATGGTACGTCACAATGACGAGGGTGTAAGAAAGTGATATGTAAGGAATACAGGCAAAGAAGTAAAATTGTTCGCAGGCACTTTATAAGCATTTCAGTGCAATAACCAAATAGCTATGACACAAAGGACGCATTTGGATGATTTTTTACGTGGTAGAATTATCGGCCGTCTGGAATATGGGCGTACAAAACTGGAAGTATCAGACGAATTTGGAATTGCCCAAGGTGTCATCTCCAGGCTTTGGCAACGATTCATAGATGATGGTAATGTGAGTAGATGTTACAGCACAAGTCGCCCCAGAGTTACAACGCCGAATGAGGACCGGTAATTGGCAGTTACTGCCAAAAGAAACAGGCGGAGCACAGCCTCAGACCATACTCAAATATTCCTTCGTCAGCTCTCTTCAGCCATTGGTTCGACAATTTCAAGACAGACCATGTACAGATGCTTAGGGCAGATTGGTCTATATGCTCGTAGACCTGTCAGATGTGTTCCACTTACTACAACTCTGTCGCCTGCGGTTAGCCTGGAGTAGAGAGCATGCATTGTGGACACCGCAACAGTGGGCTTGTGTGATGTTTTCCGACGAGTCCAGGTTTAGCTTGCAGTCTGATTCTTGCTGGACTTTCATATGGAGAGCTCCAGGTACCTGTTACCACCAAGAAAAACATCATTGAGCGACACCTTTACGGTGGTGCAGGAGTGCTCATTTGGGGTGGAATTATTCTGGGTTCCAGAACTGACCTGCATGTTCAAATTGGAACTATGACAAGCCAAATCTATTGGGACGTCATTCTGGAACAACATGTACATTTGTTTTGGGGCGCCATGGGCGCACAATTTGTGTTTATGAATGACAACGCCCGTCCTCACCGAGCAAACATCGTAAGCGAATATCTTCAATCAGAGGATATCACCCGTATGGACTGGCCAGCATTCTCACCAGACTTGAATCCAGTAGAGCACGTGTGGGACATGCTTGGCCGACAAATTGCTGCCCATCAACCTCCTCCATGTCTACCGAAACTTCGGAGAGCATTGCTTTTTGAGTGGTGTAATATCCCCCCTAGATCAGATCGATAATTTGATACTCAGCATGCCTAGGCGTTGTACGGACTGTGTTGCATCGTCTGGGAGACATACAATGTATTAACAATCATACCAACCATGTAATATTGGTTTTTTGTAAATAATTGTTTTTTGTAATTTGCTCCAGGGAGAAAAAATCGCTAATTTTTTTTAATAATATCAAACATATAGTGTCTTTTTTTTTGCTCTTTACCTTTTGTTTAATAAATAAGCTTTACAAATAAGTCAAATTTGTTTTGCTTCTAACTCTTCCTTTGCCTGATTTTCCATTATCCTAAATTTATGGACATGAGTGTATTTCACCCTCAAACCCTATTTAACATCAGGTTTATAGTAGATAACTTCCTGTTTCTCTAGATCAAAAGAGCCCCCATTGGCGGGATATTTGTTACTGGTCACATCAATATATACATTATATATCATAATATAATGACGTATTAAATTGAGTAAGAAAAACAAAAACGTTGGCTCTTTCCTGAGAAATGCAAGCGATTAACACGTATTACGCCTCGAGAAAGCTGATGGTCTTTCCCCTTCAGTAATAATAATACTTTTGAATTAGCCAAGAAAGCTTATGTTAAGTTTAAAAATAAGTGGGAAAAAGGGCAATTGGTTTTGAGTTTTTCCATCACAGAAGTTCGGCGACGTTACACCTTCTATACTCAGCTGAATGCACTTTTCTAACAAGAAAAAGCAAATAACAGAAACGAAAACAAGGAGTTGGACGCCCGTACCCACATTCTAATAACGAAAAAAGCAAACAACAATAGTGAAAAAAAAAAAAATTCCCAACGAAATAAACAGAAACACCTGTGCCCTTTTAATTCATAGGCGCACTTATAAAAAGCCGTGATTCCCAGTTTGTTTATACCAATAAATCTATCAAAACCATAAGCACAGAACAGAAACTGATGGCAGTACATGATGGTCAAATGCCATGTGAAAACAGTTGCCATTTAGCTTCATCTAATGGCTTTTAAAAATTCAAATAAATTGTTCTGTTTAAATGTTACGTTATGCTGGGCTGCAGAGATCCGTCGGAGCTCTTCGTGTATACGCAACGCTGGTAGGAGTGGAATTGCTGCGTCTCGTATACGGGATGCTGGTCTTGAATGGGTTAATGGTGCATTAATTGTACTTAGGAATAAATTTGGCTAACTAATTAATCATTCCTAAAAATCTTTGTAAAGAAGGGACATCTGTAGGTTATGGCATTTTATCAATTGCTTCCACTTTAGAAAAATCTGGTTTTGAACCCAATTTCACTTTAATCGTGCCCTATATAGTAAACACTATTAACTTTAATTTTACACTTAGCCTTATTTAACCTCAGATTATTTTCTCTTGCTGTCTGGAATACTTTTTTGAGCTGTAGGTCATGTTCCTCTTCATTAGATCCCCAAATTAAGATACCATCTGTAAAGCCTTCTAGTCCTTCTATTGTTTGGTTTATTTTTTTTATTTTTATTTTATTTTTATTTTTTATTTATTTATTTATTTTTTTTTTTTTGACAGATTTTAGGAACTGAACATATGCCAAATGGTAAACTTTTAAGTTTGTATCTGCCAAAAGGTGTATTGAATGTACACAGATTACTACTTTCTTCATCAACTCGGTTTTTCCAAAAAGCATTATTAGCATCTAAAACAGAAAATATTTTTGATTTAGGCATTCTACTGACAACTTTGTCTATGGTTAACATAGGATAATGTTCTCATCTTATTGCTTTATTTAAATTTCTAGGATCTGAACATATTGTGATTTTGTTAAGCAGTTGAATTTACCCATTCAGTTGGTTCTCGTCTTTCTCAATAACGTTTAAAGTTTGCATTCTTTGTAGCTCTTTCTTCACTTTATCTTGTGTAGCTAATGTAACTATTTTTTGTTAATTTCAGACTTCTATATCAGAACATCTCACAATTTCACTTTGCTTTTAGAAGTAACATTGCACAATGCTCCAGTGTGTCTAACTGTAAATTATGTTTATATTTATTTACATTAATGTCAACACTCCATTTCTCCTCTGTTACCCGAACTAAAGTTTGATGTACCTACATAAAATTCTAACCTTTCCTCGGAGCCATGATTTATTAATTTAATTAGGTTCTCTTTGTTTACCTTGATGGCTTCATTTTTTTATTTTATAGCTTTTACACTGATTTGCAAAAGGATTTACCTTTTTAAAATACAGATATTTCCATATGCTGGACTTTTTCAATACTCATGAGATGTTCCACATTTAGAACAGACTTTTGTTGCTTTTGTTTGTCAATATTTACTTCTTTGTATGCATTCTCATGTTTACTTAAGTTTCTTTTTCACTGTGTTTACAACAATTTCCTCATCTTTTATTATTTTCATTTGATGTGCACTTGTTTCTGCAGATCTGCTTATATCAGGATCTTTTTCTAATGTTTATTCTGTTTATGTAATAATCTTGTGCTCACTACATCATCTTTAATACCACAAACAGTTTTATCCTTTATTAACCTGTTCTTTAATTTTGCAAACTCACATGTTCTAGCTTTATTTTGAAGGGCCGGTTACAAACTCATCTGTGGTTTCCGACACAATTTGATTTCTAGTAAAGAATAAATGTCTTTCATATGTAATATTTTTCTTAGATATACAACATTCCGTAAATTTTGTCGTAGTATCTTTACCTTCTTATACAGAAAATGTATTATAATATTTCAAGACCATGAATTCCTATTACATGAAGAAAAGTATTAACTCTCACCTTCTCTTCTTTCTTGTGTCAGCTACTTTCTTCTTCATATATTTCAAACTATTGCAGCCATCTGCCAGTTTAAAGCAATATTTCATCAAATTTCAATGGCTCTGGTGGTTTAAACTTTCCGTTTTGAAAGGAAAATAGTCCTGACACCATATAAAATAGAGAGGGTTCACTTTTTGACTTTTTAAACTACTTATTTATAATCATAAAATATTATATGTTTCAGAGAACTGCAAAACCATCATAGTTCTGTTTTTATGTGTGTATTCCAAAGTGTTGCCATTCACATGTTACTAAATGTTAAATGTTTCCATTTATGAATTACTAAATATTAAATGTTACAGTTTTGAGTAACCATCTCATGTAAATGTTTGTATTAAAAAGAGTCTCCTATCTCCAGAGCTGTGATTAATTTATTTTTTATAAATTTACTTTATTTGTGAGTTAGTGTGTAATGTAGGTGAATCATAAATTCTGATTTGTGTGTAAAAAGTACTACAGTAATGTCCATAACTCCTAAAGGGTTTTTTTTTAAAGTTTGTAAGGTGATTTGCTTTTCGGAAATATATTCATGTGAGGTTACGTAGACTGCAATTTGTCAGTTTTGTCTTTTTATATAAGAGTAATATATCTGAATGCATCAGTTTTTAAAATTTTGTTGCGTATATTTTTAAAGCAGTTTTACATTATTTTCTTTTTACCAGGGAACACAAGCTCTTCTTCCTCCTGGTCAGCCACCTCTGTAAAAACAACTCAGTCCAGCCATTTTTTCCTTCAATGGAGATGCCAATTAACTCTTCCATGGGCATACTTGCTGACCCTTCAGTTGCTCTTCTTCATCGCATTTCTTGAGGAGGAAATAAACCACCACATTAACTTGACTCGGTGTGGCTACATGAAATGTTGCCCTTAACTGATGTAGATGTCATTATTGTACATGGAAACAGCCATCAATTTTGTATCATCATTATTATCATTAGTTGTAAATTGTCGTTAGCATTAAGTTAGCAGCCATTTGTGTTAACTGAACTTATTTCAGTCTGTATGAATATCTTACCATGGTTCACATCAGATTATTTTTATGATCAGTTGCATTTATGTTTTCCATTATATTTATGTTTTTTAATGCTCGCCCACGTTAAAGGAGTCGTTTATATGCACTATGTTGCCAAAATATTTTGTTATGTTTTGTCTATCAAATGTCAGATGCAGAAATATTTTTTTAATATTTCTAATTTTTTATTCGTTTATTTGACTTCATTTGTGTGGTAGCTATTCTGTTTACACTGGTATATTAATTCTAAATTAGGCCAGGAAAACCTCTCTTTACTTGAATGTGTTTGGATACCATACAAGCATGTCATGTTGGTCATTGGCAAATATGAAAAGACAGTACTTCAGCTTGTATAATGCTGTAGATAGTGCTTACTTTGCCAGTAATGGAACTTTTATAACATTGCCTTTGGTAGAATTTCCTGCTTACTTCTTAATCGCAAAAGTACCAGAAGGTAGCTTCTGAGTAAATTTGTTTGTTCACTTGTACAGGCAGCAAAGTTCCATGTACAGATGTTTTATAGACATATATGCATTTTTATCTTGCAGCTTTCCATCTGCTGAGCATCTTTCTATTCAGGCATTTAATTTTACTATTTAACTTGCCTCTCAGTCTCGTTACTCTGAATGTTATCTGCATATGACTTAGTTTTACACATATTTTATCTTTGTTAAAATGCCTTAAACATTTAGAGTACCTATTATTTAATTTGTTATATTTTTAATAAAAGAAAACTTGAGAGATTTGTAGTGTTCCCTTATCTATGCAGTTGTCCTTTCATTGTGTCATTTTATGTGTTATTTAAATACAGAAGGCTATGTTATTGTTTTTTTGTTTCATAAATGAAAATGTTATTCATCATGTAGAGAAAAACAGAAAAATCTGCTTGGTGGACTCTGGAGAGATTTTGTATGATGTGAAACATCTCCTTCAGTTGTGCTTGCTGTGTCATTTGGTATAAATTATGAAAAATATATATATTATTTCACTATTTTAAAGTGAGAAAGTGTTATTCATGACTGTAGCCATATTCTGTAAACATAATGGTTAACCATTGTGTTAGCTTCTTGATCAGATAAAATCCATTAAAGGAATAGATATTCTGAGGATTTTGTGTTCAAGTTAGTGAATATGGCTCTGTTTATGTTCCCTTTAGAATTGTCATGTAAATATTTTCTGTATAGTTAATAGAGTTAATAAATTACATGCCAGTTGAAAGTTGATAAAAATCAGACTCTATGAAAAGTATTGACTGTATTTCAAAGTAAATGTTTATTTTCATTTAAGAGGCTTCAGAGCACTGCAGAAAATAGTGTGTATGTGTTAGTGTTTTGTTTTAGTTAAACAGTACAATCCATCTGACAATTTTAGACTCTGAAGTAGTTATGTAATTTTTTATTGACTTGCATTTAATGCGTTTCTCATGTGTTTTTTAATTGTTTAAATTATTCATATTTTGTACAGAATAAAATTTCTTATAAAGTAACTTTTATCTGAATCTACATGCAGGAAATGATGACGGTGATTTTACACTATTGTAGGTGGAAAACTGAAAAGTTCCTTTTAGTACAAAAGTAACGTGCATAAGAATCTTGTACAATTAACTGTATGCTTCTATTGTTGAAATTATATTTTGTTAGCAATACTCTAAAAAGTTCTTCATGGCAGATTGTCTAATGCAATTTAAAAACTTGTATGTAAAAGTATCAGATCTGATGTACAAATAGTTTAAAATCATTGAAGATAAATTCTTGCACTTTATACATACTTTCTGCAATGATCATGATATTTTTATACGGTTCATCATCATCATTAGAAGCTATGTTATGTCTGCTGGGCTTCTATCTGGACAAATGTACAGACTGTTTTTGTTGTAGTGATACTAACTACTTTTGGAAACAGCGCAGGGTGGTGGAACTTCTACTGGCCTCTTGTCACACACCATCTTGGTTACAGTATAGATGGTGTGTACTGTTGACTCTTTACACCTGTTGCACAATCTCTCCTGGCAGAGGAGAGATCCGAATATAAATGGTGCCATCTTTCTTAATATTGTTTTTCAATTCTTTTAGTGTGTATGATAAAATAAAATTAGTTTTTTATTCTCTGCCGAAACTACTTAAGTTGTTTTTGTTATTCTTACATTTAAAAACATGTACATTAAAAACATTTAATCTATAAGAATTTGATGTAAAATAATTTTCATCCTTGACACTTTAATGTGTATATTCATATTGTATTATCTGATTACTATTTATACTACACTACAGATATTCATATCTGTAGTGCATTATAAATAATCAGATAATGCAATAGGAATGTATATTAAGTAAAATAACTGCATTATTTATCCTATCAGTGTGATTATATCATTCATGTTACACTATAGATACTAAATATGAATTAAAGTTGACAATGAGAAAACAAATAGAAATGTAGTAGGAAAATTCATTAAAAGCTGTGGTGCAGCCAGCCTTAGATCAGGGGGTGCACATTTGTTGAAATAGAATTTACCTAAAATGGGTAGTTTTTGCCCATTTTAGATATTGCATAATGAAATAACAACCTTTGCAAAAAAAAAAAAAAAAAAAAAAAAAAAAATCAGTGTTTCTTTTTAATTTTGAAGCGAAAATTGACTTATTTATTTGCTTAAAGTTTTTTTCCTAAATCTTTATTTTAATGAATTGTAATAATTAGAATTCATCTCCTTTTATACAAGCCATCAGTTCTTAATTAGGAGGTTAATTTCAGGAGGGAATGCAATCAGCCTTTTATTTACCTGTTAAATATTTTAATGTATGAAATTACTTTTATTCAGATTTTGGTATCTACTTTTTCTTGTTTAATTTATGAAACAAATTTAAATAAATGTACATATATTTTTGGAATGGAGGGGGATGCATGGAACAAAAAAGTTTTAAGAACCACTGATATATGTTCCCATTTATAGATACATCTTTCACTAATGCACATCAACTAATACACCTGATGTTCGTACATTGAAGGCTGTTGATAAGCATCACACGTGTAAACACATTTTATGATTTTACTACCATATTTGCACCAAATACTCTAAGGATCTATAGAAATTAAATGCTTAATTTAAAACATTGCAGACATCCCTAGAAAATTTGAAAAGCTTTAGTTTTCAGAAATTTGAAGCTTGCTATTTTTGCTTACAAGATACTATTAATTCTTGTTATGTCAATGCCAGAGACAGTGCAAATAGTGTGGGCATAACCAGTCTCAGAATTGAGGGGTAGCAATTTTTTTTTTTTTTTTTTTTTTAAATTTAGGAAGAAATCAATTTCTTATCGTTGAAAATATTAAAAGATTGTATTAAGATATATGTGTTGGAATTAATATGGGTGTTTAATTCTGAAAGGAAACAAGACCAATGATAGTTTTTTCTTGGCTGCCTTTTAAAGATTCTAGGAATGTAAGGTAAAAAACATTACTGGCAGGAGTAGGAAGAAGTGGAGAGCACACCATAATTTTACCATTGGTTGTACAGGTGTAATCGTACTTCACTAACTGTCCAGTTCTGCTCCAATTTTGAGGAAGAAAACCCCGGGGGGTGGTCCAAGAGTCCCCTACTAGCAACCTCAAATGAGGAGTTTCGCCTTACTCAGGGTTGCCACGCTACCTGGAAAACCGGGAAATGTCAGGGAATTCGAAAATTGACCAAAAATATTCAGGGAAGTTCATACAACGATCCCGCAAAAAAAAGCGATTTTGCGCCGACGTCGGAAGAGATAACTTTTTTGGCGAATTATGTATCACGTGAGTGTCATTCGGGTAGCTGGCATAGAGCCAATTTTCGCAGCTCTAATTTGATTGTCTTTTAGAAAGGCAAAGCAACTTTTGGTTTCCAGTATTCTCGAGAATCGCATGTGCAGTGCATGAACTAAAGAAAGTACCTGTTCTCGTATAAAACAAAATGGGTTTAATCCTAGTATACGGTACCATGGAGGTTAGAATCAAAGAATATGTATTGTAAAGAAGGAAAACCTCTCTGCAACAGACGTGGCTCCGTTCCATCATAGAGGGAAACAGCTGTGCATGTCTGATATATCTGTTGCCAAAGCTCGAAACGAAGTTCGAAGGTCACGTTATCAAGAGTTCATAAAATGAATATCGTTTAAAATTTCTTTAACGACTTGCGCTAAAAAGACGTGCCACGCACGTCGAGATGCTTTTGTCTCAAACCGTGAGCGATGTGAACACCACGTCGATAAGCATTTATCGCAAAAATGAAAATAACGTGGTGCACACGTCGCCTAACAACGAGATTGTTTATTTCTCGAGTTACAGCCCTGGATTGCACTCGTAGATGCGGAGCGGCGTAAATGAGACACTTTACCGCTTGTTATATTGTAGCGCACGGCACCGCAACCGTGAAGTTTAGTCTTAGCGCAAGTGGTTAAACTCTAAAGGAAAAAGAAAATATTTTTTGGCGCAAGTAAATTAATTCATGGATTAGTTATTTTCAGGGGAAAAAAAACTACGAAATCCACTTTTTAAAATTATTGCGAAAATGGATTTTTCTCAATAATTTTAAAAACGGATTTTCGTAGTTTTCTTTTTGTCAAAGAGCGTTTCTTGTTAACACGTGTTTCTCAATTTCCTGTACACATCGCGGAGAGGGAAATTCTGGCCGCCAGGTTCCGTCGCCAAATCCCTTGGCAAATTTTTCCTCCGCATTCTAACGGCGTAATAGCATTTTACTTGTATGGAACCTTTTCTTCTTTACATAGACGTTCTTTGGTTAGAATAATAATAAGATTTGGCGACATCATGATGCGCAGTAAACGGGTCATTTTGGTCTTGGCGACAATTTTCAAAATCGTGCCAAAGCCTTACCGTATACTAGAATTTTACCGCAAAATCTTTTTAAACCTTTTTTTTTTTTTTTTCTTCTTTTTAATAAATACCTTGCCATTTTGCAGTAAAATAAAAAAATAGTAATCAGTCATCTAGGCTAGCCATGTAATATAACTATATTCGTTAAAATATCGTTGATTATTCTAATTCAATTTTTAAGTAATTATTTTTATGTTATTCATATAATTTAATGTTGCTTCTTCCCTCTAAATTTATTTATTATTAGTAAATAATATTTCCAAATTTCAGGAAATTTTCTCTGGCATAATCCTGAAATTCATTATAGCAGTATGATGGACATACCATCACGAAATTTAATGCACATGTTTTTTCTTATGTATGCTGCGAAATAAATATAAAATACCTCAATTTATTAAAATAGATTTCTTTTCTTTCCGTTTAGCTGCAGAATGTCTGCAAAAAAAAAAAAAAGCCTTATTTTATTCAGATTGGGAAGATTCTAATCTCAATCTTCAGTGGAGAAAACAACAACTATTATAATTATATTTGTGTTTTCAAGTGTTAAGGTGCCTTTTAAGAACATACCTCACGCAAATTAAATTTACCTAAAATCTAACCTAACTATTTAGCATTGCGTTGTGATTTATAAGGATCGGATTAGCCTCGTGTTGAACTGGTGATGATCATGAGTAATAATTAAATAAAACATACATTTGTTATCCAATGTATATATCTTAAATTTTATTAAGTGGAAAACTAAACAAAATTATCAAACAAAGTATACCAAGAATAATTAAGAATAAATGTCCTTTGGGATTTATTGAATAATTAAGTGAATTTGTTACACAATACAAGTAATACCATAATTAATTTACCTCTTAGCACAGCCAACGTACATTACGCGGATAGACTGGAATTTTCTTGAAACACACCTGGAAAACCTGGAAAGTCAGGGAATTTCATTCCCATGTTTGAGTGGCAACCCTGCTTACTGTGTATTTCAAGTGCCCTTTTTCTGTCGAGATGTTGTATGTGTACAAACATTCTATGCCTTCTCCAGACCCATTGGGATGGCAGCCAGCATCACTATACTAAGTTGGGTGACAAACATTACTGCCAGAATTACTATCTGAATAAGAAATTGGGATGCATACAAATAAGGCATTGGTTTGTACGTCATATTAAATGCCAGCTAGCATAACTCCACCAGAATTATCACTATGAAACAACTACAGATTTACTATTCAGAAATGCTGTTTTATTGCTTGGTTAAATATTGCTTAACTCAGAAACATGCATAATACATGTCCTTGCATTTTCTTTGGCTGGAAAAAAAACTTCAGTAACATAAAAGGAGAAATTTCAATGGGGTTGTTGTCTAGTGAAATAAGGTAAAAAACTGCCTTACTGCTTAAAGTATTACAATAGGAAAGCTAATATGTGACATGAGAGTAAAATCTTGTAATTTCATGCTCAGAGGATTAAAACCTGGAAGTTCATGCATATTTTTTTCTACAAGCTTAATTGATTTTAAGTATCATTTTCCGTTTGATACACTCCTCTTTAGAATTCAATAGAAGTTGATTAGCATTTTTTTTTTGGGGGGGGGGTTCTTTTTTTATAGTTCATTTATGTTGTATGTTATTCATACTTGTCACTTTACACGGGTTTTTGTCACTTGTCACAGAACTTTTAACATCACCAAGAAAAAATTAGTGTGAGATTTCGAAAATGATTCCTAGCGATGCTAAGATTATTAAAGCCTGAGTAAAAACTTTAAGGCCAGTAAAAATTTTTGAGAAAATGGAAACATTTAAACTGAGGAATTAAAATACCATTTGATTGATAATTATTGAGGTTAAATAAAAGTAAAAAAAGTAGAAAAATTAATTTGCAAATATTTTATTAGAAAATATTACAAAACACACATATGAATATTTGAGCCTGAGTAAAAACTTTAACCCCTTAGAGCCGGGTAGCGAAAATGCGCGCTTATCGCTCAGGCCGGCAGTGTCTTACGCAAGCGTCTCTCCAGGGCCGGGGGCTTTTTTGCTACTAAGCCTAAATCCATGAAATTTCCGAAGTATCAACGCATTGTTTAATAATGCTCTATAGAGTATTTAAACGGCTTATGCTTTATAGATATTTTTATATATATACTTTAATTACCTTATTTCTTGTTTAAATGCATATTTTACACATTTTATTTTAATTACTCACCATTTTATGAATTTTAACATTATACATCTGAAAACTAAATATATTACTTAAAA